CGGTGCAGGTGCGGCAAGCCGGAGCCGATGAAGAGAATGTCGAGGCTGCGCGCGGCCGGAGGCCGGAGGACCGCAGCTGCTGAGGCGGCTGGGTCGGTGAAGTAGGGCATATAAACCGAGCAAGGTTGCAGCGGCTGTGCCAACCCTCCAAGGGACATTGTCTGTAGGCATGTGCGTGCAAACTTACGCGAGGCGTTTGTCGGCCACTGCCACAGCGTCGGGTAGGCTTGCTGAGCGCCCCTGATGTCAAGTCGAGAGCACCTCAACGCATTGATCATGACAGGCTTGTCAGGCCACGGACTCAGCTCGTTCAAGACGATCCGCTCGGACTGCCTCTGGAGCCTCTGCCCCTCCTGCCTAACCCGGCCAGCAAAGAAGGCGTTGACCAGGCATGCCGGATGGTAGAGGAGGTCCGCGTCGCCAGGCTCACTGACACGCATGTGAATGGGCACTAGTCTGCCAGTGAGCCACTCATATCGGTCCTTGCCGTTGCGCTCGTCGGTGCAGTTCAGGGACGAGTTGAAGACGTACACGCGCAGAGGGCGCCGCTGCACGAGGCGCGACTGGACTCGCGGCGGTGGTGTAGCTGTCGCGTTGGGGACGCATGCATGCATGCTGTCGGATCCACCGCGTAGGGTCGCAGTACTGGAGTCGGCTGTCTGCGCCACCTGCCTAGCGGTGACGTTGACTCGGGCGCCCGAAAGGCTAGCAGCGCCATGCAGGACGCACGCAACGTCCGCCTGCGACTGACACCTCCGGCCAGTGCGCAAAATGGCTGGCATACAGCACTGGAGCGAACCGCCGGGGCGCTTGGAGCAGCCATGACCACCACATATTCCACACGCTGCGTTGCAGCAGACCTGGCCCGTCGAGTGCTGAATGCCGTCCTGGCAGTCCCTGCTGGCCGCTCCGAAGGAATGAGTACGCGTCGGCTCCATTTCGCGCTGCCATACCTGAGGTCTGGCGCACACACCTAATGGTCTGTCCCGGCGAGTTTGGACGCAGCCCACATGACGATTAGCAGGCCCGCCGCGGTGGCTGATCTCCGAGGGTCGGTGCCAACAACGCGTCAGCAGCGAAAGCCGAAGAGGGGCGACAAGTCGCAGGCCGTACCGAAGCGGAGACGAGAAGCATTCGCGAGCGACCGCACCACTAGCTGCGCCGCCTTTGGTGACGCCAGCACGACCGCCCCGGTGTTTCTGCGCCAGCAGCTCAATCTGACGGCCCTACGAGGGAAACCCCCTTATGGGCTCAGCAACACGCCGCATTGGAAGCTGGAAGCGATGCTGAGAGCAGCGAGTGCCCCTCCTTCCAATGCCTACAACCGGTGCGCGGTTGTGGGCAATGCGGGATCGTTGCTGCTGGGGGAGGCAGGCGCTG